CTTCTTCCCCGATGGCTTTGTGCTAAGTGTCCCGGGTTGTTTGCCCCGAGTAAAGGGTCCCTGGTGCCCCGAGCGCATCGGAAAGCCCCGGAGGAGGCAGCCTCCCTTCTGGAGGCTCATTCGCATCAATTAAGGCGCCGGGATTTGCGGGAAGTGATGGATGTTGTGCGCGGCAAGATAAGTGAAACGGGGAAACGGGTGCAGCCGTGGCTGCTACCCAGGTATGTCAACACAAATGCTATATAAAATGATGTCGTGAACAGGAGAAAAGTCGATGGCAAAGTTGGACTTAGCTTTTTTTTTCTTTTCCTCTTTTTTTTTTCTTTCTTTCTTTTCTTTCTTTCTTTTTCTTTTTCTTTTTTTTTTTCATTAAAAAAACTATCAATAAAAGTATCCAAAGTTACACTGGTACACAAGGAAGTCAGCTAAAGGTGAATGCATATGATGGTACCCTCACTTGGAAGCGAGAAGAAGTCGAAACAGTTTTCTAGGCTTAGGGCAAGTTAAGGCCAAGGATGCTGGTTCAAATACTTCAGCTGGGGACGTCACTGCTGGAGGTGTGGGCTCTGTCTCCTGTATGTGCAGACCATGTCAGTCAAGGGCCAGTCCCCACCAATGACTGCGATAGGGAGATGGTGGCCAAGGCACAGCCAGCTGTGTTGGTGTTCTGATGAGTGGGTGTCTGGGTCTCTGGCAGCAGGGATCTCCCTGTGAGGGAATTCATGACTTCCCCTTGCTTTTCTTTCTTATTTACTGTAAAACCTCTTCTTATCTAGTGTAAGCCCCTAAGTGGCTTACAGCTCCTCAGGGTCTCACAGGCAGAAAACAGTGGACCTAGACCCTAGACAGGTATTTTGTTGCATCTCTAGTTTTGTTCCTTTCCCCTTTGATTGATGCCTTTTTCTTTTTCTTTTCTTTTTTTCTTTTTTTTTCCTGCTTAGTGCATACTTGCAGACATGCTTATCACTTAGCGGTAAGCTCATTCATTTGCAACTTGCATATAGGAATCAAGTATCTTTGAGAGCATTTTTATTTTCCCCCAGAGTCTGCCAAAGGCTCTCAGCGCTGTAGGGAGGCTTGGACTTTACTACGAAAGGGATGAAGCCCTTTGCTGTTGCTGCAGGGCGATGAGGGCATAGATAGAACTGGGGATATAATATAGGGGAAGAGAGTATCCAAATGCATGGCTGGTGCTTGCCGCGTCCTCTAGCAAAAAAGTGATCTGTGCACCAGGTTGTGAAAGTCCCGGGCAGCCGTGGCCCTGCAGTTGTTTCCTGACAAATGTATCCTTTACCTTTCTCGACCACGTCACATATTTTTTTTCAAATGAAATCATGTGACGTGGTATCACGCATGTGGTAGGCAGTGCTTCATGTCATTTGTTTCCAGACAAGACAAATATACAGTTACTCATAGAATGACTACAGTGTCCATTAACTTTTATAATGAAACTGCTACTCCCAGAGCTTTTTAACACATTTTTTGCTCCCCCGCCTGTGGGAGTAGTATTGGTATAATCTTGTTTTGCTGGCCTTGGGCATACTGCTGTATTGTGGACTTTATTTGAATTGCCGGTAGACCTTATCAAGAGGCACTGTTTTTTAACACCTGTTGATAAGTAGTCCTACGGTTTAAGGATATCTTAGGAGCTAATCTAGAAGAGCTTCCAAACAATTTCTTGGGAAAGCTAGGAATGCTGAGGCTGTATTTGCGGGAACCTGTCTTTCATATAAATATTTGTATAGTCTCTTAGAGGTCTCTGCAAGATGCTTTATGTTGCTGTATGGGCACATGAAGTAGAGCTTATGTCTATTGAGAAACTTAGCTAAAAAACAAAGTACCGGAAGAATATAGTTTTGATTGCTGCAGTAAAACTTTCAGTTGCTCGTAAAATTGGTTTTGGCTCTTTTCCCAGGGTATATCTAAGCCTGTGGTGTAAACAGCATTTTTTTAAAAAAACTATCAATAAAAGTATCCAGTATCACTTCCTGAAGCATTAAGGAAATTTTGTTAATTAAATTAGATGAACATTCTCATTTGATTTCTTTTTGTTTCTTCTTTTTCCCCTTCTTTTCATCATTTTCAAGACTTAATTTGTAAGTCGTGTTCCTTTTTTTTTTTTTTTTTTTTGCTTTTTAAATAGGAGTATTGAACACATTCCTTTTCTCTACTCCTGGTAGAATAGAAATAGCAATTGCCCAGTGAGTAGAAAGATCATGTAAGTGAATTTGGAATCAGCTCTTTATTCATATTTTTTCTCTCTCTCTCTCTCTCTCTTTTTTTTTTTTTCTTTTTACTCTTCCCCTCTTTCTTTTGCAGTTAAACCACTATGTTTATATACTACTGAGGCTTCTAGAAGGACATCAAATTGGTGGGAATAGTAAATAAAAGCATACTTCCTTTATAGTGTAAACAAAAGCTAGAGTTTTGGGCTGCTCTTGTTTGAGATGAAGCTTTGCACTGGAGTTTTTCCTTTGCTATTTTAATGAATTTTCTCAGTCTCTCAATTTTTTTATCTGGAAAATAATAATTCCTAATTTCTTGCATATGAGTATTAGCCACTGTTCATGTAGCTTGTTTGGAGGCTTCTTCTTTTTAGAAGCTGAACTTGTTTTGATGAATTTGACTTTTAACTGCTTTTTTTCCCTCTTTCTTTCTTGTTTGCATGTGATTGTTTTTACATAGGTATAACTACAAAGACTTGGTCTGTGATTTTTGTTTTTCATTTATTGATAGCTGTCATGTAGCTAAGCAAACAGATAACAAAGTATTTATTTCAAGAAATGACACAAAATATGTATTGAAGTAACACTAAAGTACAAGAAGCATGCTATTGTCAGGTTACACCTCTGACTTCCTTGGCCAAGGTAAAACAGCAGTGCTACATCAAAATCCCTAAAAGTAATTTTTCTGTCCTATGGATTTATGCGTCCAGGTGTAGAAGTAACATATTATGTTATTTATATGGAAGTGGAAGTTAATATAGCTAGAGGTACTCTACACATCCAAATCATGCTATCACTGTTAATTAACAGTTATAGCATACTGTATAATCAGAATTATTATTATTACTCCTTGGATGCAGAAACGAAGGCAAAAGTCAGTTTATCTGAAGGCAAGCGGCAGCTGTTAACAAAACTAGGGTTAAAGTTTTAGGGTTTCTTTGCCCTTTGTTCTCTCCTTTGTGTTTTGGGTGTGTTAGCTCTTAACTAGTGAAGACAGTGCATTATAATTGACCTGAGAGAGCCAGAGGCAGTGGCTTTCCTTCACCCAGCAGGTGCAGGGTGAGGAGGATAGAGGTTAGGAGGATGTGGTGGCAGGGAGGACCACCTAGGATTGGGCAGCACAGTGCTACACTCAATGGAGATAATGGTCCTTCTGGAGGTTAGGAGGCGAACCAGCCTTTGGAGGACTGACACTTTAAGAAGTTTGTATTAAATTAAGTAAATGTTATCAGTTGAAGTAACAAACCATTGCAGCTTTTGCTTAAGTGTAAAGAATTTATGAGGTTGAGACCATTAAGAGTAGATCTGTTCTGAAATGTGTCATTGAAAACCTTTCCTAAAAGAGCCGTTGGGTTCAATTCCTATTGGATGAATCTAAACCTTTCCATGATTATTTTTTTCTCCCATTCTAACAAGTTTCTTTTTTTTTTTTTTTTTTCAGCCTTGATGACATAAAACGGAACCTAATTACAGTACTCCCAATGCATATGTGAGAAGAAGCTAAGATATTTCAAGTTAACTGCTCGCTGTGACACAGTGCATTTCGCTGTATTTATCACTAAATACTGTGAGTAACAGCTGTATCTTTTATTCGCTAGTCTTAGTGACCATCTTTAGGAATAGCAGCATTATTTCCTTATTTTCAGAAGTCTGAAACAAAAGCAGATTTGACTTTGGGAAATCTGCATCTCTGGAAGTCAAACACATCCATACTGGAAGTAGTCAGGCCCTGAATTTCAATATTCCAAGTGGAAAGTCTATTCCTGACCTGGGTTTGTTCCTTCCAAAACTAATAGGTGCACGGGAAACAGGAGGATTTAGCTAGCTGCCCTGCAAAGCTTGGGCTCATGGGGACTTGCCTCCTACATGGGTGAGCTCCACCTCTGTTTCCTAGCTGAAGGTTCACTCTCCACTTTGGCTGCCCCAGCTTGCTTTATCAATTCCTCTTCAGCTGTGCCCCCTTATGTGTCTAATACTTAGCAGACATCTGTAGGAATGACTGGTAATACAAGGAAGGATATTTCTGTGCATGGCAGATTTATGATACTTTCATGTGGGGATTTGTTTAAATCTATCTGAAGCATGAAGTTCTGCTAGAGGCTAAAATATTGGGCTGAGATAAGAGATGCTGGTCACTTCTAGCTCTACCTAGGTGGTGATACAGGGCCTGTTTCACCGGTCAGCTTGGTTATCTATGACCTGGTTTCCTCATGTGTAAATTTGTTCCACTACCCTTGATTTATTTGTAAAACTTTTTGAGGTATATGTTATGAGGATGCCTGTTATAAAAACAGGCTACAACAGATTGTATTGGATGCTATCCATTGATTTTGCCTAACTTTCAAAAGAGTGCAACTAGTGGTTTTGGTTTAATCTCTTTTAATAGCCTTTGAATATTTCCTTGGAAGTACAATATACCCAAGTCTTTGCTGTGTTTTATGTCCTGACACAGAAAAAAAATTATTAATAAGCAGTTGTATTGGAAGTAAGTTAACAAGAAGTGCTTTGGTAACAATGATTTTAAAGCTGGTTAAAAAGGAGTTTTTTTTTTTTTCTCAATTAACTGAAAAAATGGGATGAAGATGACTGTTATCTTCCACCTTGCAAAGCATTTCAAACTGTAATGTTGTAGAAGGAAAGTTTTGGTATTTTTTGGTTATAGCGTGCCTGTTGGCTCACCTCAGAAACACCTAGTAGTCTTTATTCAGTTATCACTAAGCTTTCTTACCACTCTTTTGGCGTACATTTCAGGAAACAAGGAACAAAGATATCTTCCTTCAAAGTATTACTTGGCCTCCAATCTACGTCTGGGCAGAACTGCTTCCCAGCACTACTATGGCGAGCTGAGTAAGAATGGATGCGACATAAACCAGAAGGTTTGAAGACTTAGTCACCAATTTTGATGCACTTACTGTAAGTAGGAGTAAAGCCTGTTTTCCTCAATATGCTGCACAAGTAAGGGTTCAATGGTGTGTTATTAAGTTGTTTTGCTGTCTTTAATGGACAAATACCAGAATCATCTTTATTGGACTGTGCGAAAGTATGGGCATGCTCTGTGTGCTAAGTTGCTGTTGAAATCTGCTTTAAGATGTTTGCAGTTCAGTCTGAGGTAAAATGACATTGAAGTACAAGCTCTAAAATATGATGTTATCCTTCAGGCTGAAATATGTTGTGTTTTAATTCAGTTACTCTTGATAACAGTGGCTTTCAACAGAGTTTATGACTGTGCCTTCACACGGGGTACCACTCCGGAGGCTGGAGAAGAGTATTTCTCAGCGGATGACTGAGGATCTTCCTGTGCTTTAATGTAGAGTAATAGTATGAGAGGTCTCCACATATTAAATTAATTCTTTATTAAAATGATTGTTGGGTGCCGTAACTGCCTGTGTTAAAAGTGTAGCACCAAACACTTTGAATTTTTGTTATCTGTTCTAATCTGTTTTTTTTTTTTTCCTTTGCCTCTTCTGACTTTTAAATAAACTGCTATGATTTAAATGGGGGATGTAAATGTTTTTTTAAATGTTATATTTATATGGCATATTGTCTCCCTGCTATGCTTCTTTCCCTGTTTTTGGTGTAGTGGCTTCAATACAACCAAAGAGATAAATTTTTCACAGTGCGGAAGAGTCAAAATACTGTGACTTGTGGGACTAGTCATTATAGCAGTATTAAATGAGTTAGTTGGAAGTGCACTTCCTGGTGCTTTGTTCATGTTCTCATTTCTGTGTCATAAACTTCAGAATGATATATGAGTAAGCGCTGAGAGAGACGGGAGGAACTGAACTTGGTACTGATACCATATGGGTGGTTGCCAGGATATTCTTTCTTTAACTCTCATGTTGTTAGTGAGTGAGCACTAACTTAATCTTAGTCTGTGTAGCATTCGTGTTAATGAGTAGTTGCCACTGTGTAATAGTTGAGAATGTATTGAGAGACTATTAAGATCTGGTTTCATGCTATATCCTACATTATACCCTCTCTTGAAATACTTCTGGCATTTTTTTCCCCTGGTTTGGCATTTTTCCAGTGGAGAGCTGAGAACAAAGCTGGATGAAGCTTTTGATTGTGATGACTTTCTGTTTCTTTGTAGGTTGACACTTTATTTCCAAACACTTGAATTATTTCAGCATTTCTGACAAAGGAAGATGACCTCTACTGTAGTAAGTAAACAAAACATTCTCCTCTCTATTATTTTTTTTAATGGGCCTATAAAGTGTTTTTAAATGTGAATGTAAGCATTTCTTCCATTTTCTTTTATGCAATATGGGAAAGATACACTGTAAAAGAGGTGAAAGAGACTTGAAATAGCTACTTTATCACCTGCTCAAATACTACTGTGAGGGTTTTGTACTTTTAGAACTTGTATTTGAGGGACAGATTGGAATGGCTTCTAACTAGTTCTTAGAGGTCTTCCAAGGTCTTGTGGGTCAATGTGTCTCAGAAATGGCTTAGGTATGGCTAGTCCTGGCATAGGACAAAATGGGTCAATAAGTGTTTTCCCTAGACAGGGACTCCTGGATACACTGGCACTGTCCTTTGCCAACATTTCTTTTGATGGTGGTACTGCTTTAAACTGTCTTGACTCTGAAGATGTTATCGCTCTCTACAACTACCTGAAAGGCAATCTAGTGAGGGGAGGTTGATCTCTTCTTCGAAATAACCATGGGTAGGACAAGGGCCTCAAGTTGTGCCAGGGGAGGTTCGGGTGAGACATTAGGAAGAATATCTACATGGAAACAGTAGTCAAGCATTGGAGCAGGCTGCCCGGGGAAGTGGTGGAGTCACCATCCCTGGCAGTGTTCAAGAAACGTGTAGATGAGGCGCTTAGGGACATGGTTTAGCAGGCAAGGTGTTGAAGGGTTTGCGGTTGGGCTCGATGGTCTTAAAGGTCATTTCCAGCCATTTTGCTGCTCATTTCCATCCTGTCAGATGCTCTGCTGAAATGTATAGCCACCTGGTTGACTGGGTTCAAGAATCCTTTTTAGGTTGAGTGGTTTGGATCAGGAAACTGATCTCTTAACCAGCACCATATATTATTGTTGTTATTTAAAGGGTGACATATTAGGCTAACAATCTGTACATCTCTTTCCTTATGTGAATTTGAGTCACTAATATGTGTTAAGTATATATGGTGAATTTATGTGTGGTGGTTTCAGCATTAGCAAAATTACATCTTTAAACTTATTTTGCCCTTTTTTTTTTTTCTGTCTTCTCCTGTTTCCCTCTTCAAAATGTTTTCTTTTAGGGGATACCACCATACTATGAAAATCATGGCTTTCAGTCAGAAAACTCCCCCCCTGCCAGACAACCAGTAGGTGCTCAGGCATATCCGCCGTACCTCTCTACAAATGTTCCGTCAGTGCCAAACTACGTCCCAAAAGTTGTTACCTGTCAGTCAAGCAGGCCAGTGGCACGTTCATCCAGGAGAGCCTGTGCACCAAGTAAGATTGTCAGGATTTTAGGCTTAATGCTTTTTAGAGGGAGTTTACAAATAAAAGGGTTCTTCCTTTCAAATTCCTGTATTGAAGGAATCCACGAGGACTGTCACTACTCTATGGATGAAAAAGTAGTACTAGTAGCTGGGATGCCAATGTAACTGGATAGGAACATATGTGATCTGGAGGAAGAGTGGTGGAATGGAGAAAAGTCTGACCATCAAAAAGTCTGCTTTTAATTTCTAAAAAATACAGTGCTAGAAACTACTTTTAGCTTTAGTGCTAGAAACTGCCTTATTCAGGAACCTAATTTGTCTTTTTGTCTTTGTTTTCATTTCAGAAACAAAGAAAATCATAATCATTATCATATCCATTTTAATAGTCATATGTTGTATAATAGCTGCATTCCTCATTTGGTATTTTGGTAAGATTTTTTTTGTTATTGTTGTTGTAACAGAATATATATGAAATAAAGCAAAGATGTGCTTTTATAATCAGAAATATACATTTTTATTTTCCATTTCGTGCTAAAATTAAAGAGAGGAAACTCATGGTCACCAGTCTCTTAAGAGATCAATTTCTGTGGCTACCTAGTTACTCAGTTGTTTGGAATAAACACTGCTGCTATTGCTTTCCTTCTCTCTGTCGAATAAATGCGTTTTAGACATTGTGTGATATGGGTGATATTGTGTGACCTCTTGCATGGAGGTTAAGCTGGAGCATGACCTTGCTTGGATAGCATATTTTACAAGGAATTTCATTAGGAAAATTACTGCTGTGTATTGTCTCTGGAATTAAACTTTAGTTTAATTTCTTCACTGAACTTCAAGTGAAGGAAGCAAACTGAAATAAATTTTGATAACTTAACCATAAGAGTATAGTCAAGATTTATTTTCTTTCTGGGAGCTGATGAAGTAACTCATGTACACTTGTTTATTTTATTTTCTGTGAGAGTTTTCCTTTAGAAAGCATGTTAAGGTTGTGTCAGCCTAACCACATTGAGTGGAAACACAAGTGATATGTTAACCTTGGAAATCATCCAAGTGGAGTGACTGAGCTCTGAAACTGGGCTAGAGCAATTCTGTTCAGCTTAGGTGAAGTTTGTCTGGTGCTGTCTTAATTTCACTTTCAGTTAAAAACAATTTTAAAAGCACAGTAGAAAACAATTTACTGTATTTTTAGGAAACTCCTTTTTTTTTTCTGTTGTAATAGAGGAAAGGGAAGCATAAGAGACAAGAGGGTTCATTTAAAACTGTTAGGATAACATTTTGTGCTTTTGTATTCTTAGGCCTTGTTTGTTTTTTACCACTTTGATTTATATTCAGCAGACTAATCTTGTTTTGAATTGCACTGAAAGCAACGGGTTGTAATTGGAGTTAATGACTTTCCTCCTGTTTATAAGTTCTATCAATGCAAGGTTAACTCCTTTTAGTCAACTTGATGGTGCTTGCTTAATTCAAGGGAGGCAACAGACAAAATCCAATTAGCTGCATCAATGACTTAATCTGGCTAGTAATGTAAAGGACAGAGCAGTAAATCTTCTGTCGTGTCAGGCTAGGTCTCCTCTCATCTCTGAATTTGTTTGATTAAGATAATATTTTGCTCTGTCAAACCCAGCACACTCCTTAAGATGTGAGCTGCAGTAGTCACCTCATGCTAAGTTGATGCTCAGTCTAACACTTGGGTGTTGCTCTTCGCCTGCAGTGGAGAATCGCTGTCTTGGCTCTCTAATAGAGTGTGGCTCTTCAGGAGTGTGCATGTCGGCCTCGCAGTGGTGTGACGGGACGATCCAATGCCCCAACGGCGAGGACGAAAATCGGTGTGGTGAGTATCTGCAGGTTGTAGGGGTAGGGATTCCACTAACTGTAAGAGGTTTTCAGCAACTTATTTGCCCAAAGCTTGTCTAAATTAAAACCTAAACCAGTCTTGGTTGAGGTTGGCTTGAAGACCAGTCTTGATCTTCAGTCTCTTTCTGGTCACACTGCATTGCTGATACAAAATGACTAACTTGGGGGTTTAGGCTGGCTTAACTTGAAATCAGTTTTAAAAATACTATCTCTTGAGGTGAACCTAGTTTGTGCAGATCTAAATGAGATGTAGGCTCTTGCATGGCAGTCACTGTTATTGAATTCTTAGTAGGACTTGAAGTGATAGTACTAATCCAACTGTGTTCAGTGGCCTGGCTTTTCTTTTCTTACATATTAGCACTCCTCTTTCCTTGACTTGTCAGTGCTTCTTTTCAGCTACTTCATAGCTCCACTGTGTTAGAAAGCAGCCTGATTTGATTAGTGTTTTCAGTTGAAAAGATGGCAAAGGAAGCTTTATTGTAGAATTTAGAGTATAAGGTGTAAATGTTATTAATTTGTCCATTCCAAACTATGTTTGTAATACTTATGTTGTGTCAGTGCCTCTATGGAAAACTCTTGCTGTGTCCTATTCTCTTCTTCTGAAGTCTTCTGTACATGCCTCATGCAGTGTCAGTGTTTAAGGAAGTAAGCTGTAAATCTGTTCCTTTCACTTAGTTGAATATTCTGTTTCGTAGAAGCTTGTTCCATCTTCTCTTTTGTTTGACCTATTTTATTTTAAATCCTTCTACAAATGTAAACATGATGACTGCTTCTTGTTACATTCTTGCTCTAAAACATTATCTGCAGAAATATGTTAAGATACAGTGTACTAATACATTACATATAAATATATTCTATTTTATTTATATATAAAATATGGTATATTAATAAACCCACAGTGCATGTAGAGAAAAGATTTTTAAAAATCAGACATTGCAGTCATCAGTGGTAGAATATGAAGGAATCTTCAGGGTTTAAAAGCTGAGATGAAAGATGGATGGAAAAGACTGTACTTTTGAATTTTACACTAGTATTTTTTTTAAATCGCCTTACACAAGAAATTCAATTATTGTGCTATTTCTGTCTACTGGGTATGTATCCCAAACCTGTATAGAGGACAGCATTAAATTAGCATGAGTTAATTCATATATGCAAACAAATATCATCTAACAAATATCATGGGTAACAATAACTTTAAGCAGAGAATGACTATTAAATGTAGTGTTTGTGGTGTTCCTGCGTCTTCTTCCTTTTCTGGTAGTTAGACTTTATGGACCAGACTTTGTCTTGGAAGTTTATTCGCCTGTCAGCAACTCCTGGTATCCCGTTTGCGAAGATGGCTGGAATGACGATTACGGAAAGATAGCGTGTCAAGACATGGGCTACGATGTGTAAGTATAATCTTGCTCAGACTTTGCAAATATGTAGAAAGGTTAAATTTCCCTACTTTGGTTCCCTAAGAATGTCTATCATCTGATACAAAATGCAGTTGCTAATCTAGCTCACATGAATGCAGATGGGGCTGATTTTAATAATGACAGGTGTTGTAACAAAACTTCAATTCTGCAACATATCACAGCTCCTGGCATATATGAAGCATTTATGGTGTGGGATCACTCATCTAATGCATTCCTTCACAAAGGTCTTTAGGAACTTACTTCAGTTTAGTTTCAATTCTTTGTAACTACCTAATAACACCCAGTCTGACTTTTAATCTGTCATTGTTAGTGTTATATGGAAAGCCTCTCTTGTTCTGAGAATACAACTAACAAATATGAAAGATCATCATAAATTTTTGCACCCAGTAGGCTAGCCAGATAGGCTCCACATAACTCCATAACCTACAATTTTTTTGTAGTTGAGATACTTTATGCTACTGCTCTCTAAGGTGCTGTCCTGTGGTATGCATGGCGTATGGGGCAATTTTTTTGTCAAGGCAGAGCTTCTACGTGACCACACTGCACAGGGACACTTGGTAGTAAGATCTCTGAACCAGCAATGACCAGAGTGTCTCCAAATCAGTAAGACAGTCTCACAGTAACTACACAGAGTGGTCCTCCACTAAAAAGGAGGGCAAGTATTTATTAACACTAATTATCACTGGGGCTGCCCCATGCAAATATTACTATTTTTGCTCTTTGGATCAGAAATTTGCTATGCTATATGTGTAAACGCACTAGTAGAAGCATTGCTTCATCATGCTCCATTTCACTGGGCAGGAGACTCCTACCATGCATGCGTATTAGATAAAAATGTCATTTTAATCTGATTATTTGATGTGAATCCGAGTTTGATAAATCAATCTTTAAAGTATCTGAGCTTCTCACGCTATACTGTGTTTAATATGTTGTGTGCTTAATGCCAAAAAAAAAAAAAGGTATTTTAGTGTTGTTCATGTCAGAAGATTTAGCTTGGTACAGTTTGTTTTTGCGTATTTGAAATCTGAAACAATTTGGTTTCTTAATGGATTCTTTCTGTTTTGCAGAGATACGTATTACTATAGTAAAGGAGTAACACCAGAAACTGACTTTGAAAGCTTTATGATGCTGAATACAAGTGCTGAGAATATAGATTTGTACAGAAGGCTCTATACCAGGTATCTTTGCTTAACTTTCTTCATTTTTATCTGGAGCCTTTTCAGAAGTTATAGGACATATTTCAATGTGAATTATCAGAGGAGAGTTTGCTTTTAATGTGGTTGTAGCAACTGCTCTCCCTACTTAAAACTGCAGCTCTCATTTTTCCATCTTTCCACTCTTCATTTTCTCTTAGAGAAAATGTCCCATTCTATGCTATCTAGAAGATTTCCTTGTTGAGGAAGCAATCATAAGCCTATCCGGTCATTAATATGAATTTCAGAATGATAGCAATAGCTAATAGCTGCAATACGTTCACGGCAGTTGGTACTGTTTTTCTTTTCCTTTTTTTTTTTTTTTCCAAGTCACATGAACACATGGTTTGGAAAATGATCTTTCACTGCATAAGGCATTTTTATCATTAAACACCTTTGAAGAGTTTAGTTTCTAGCCTGTAGATGGCTGTACCAACAAAGGTCTCTTAATATATCACTTCAATTTTTCCTTAGGCTCTCCTTCGTTTTGCTCCTCAGTGGGCTTACAAGCCTCTTATACTGCCTGCCTGTGCTAGTGCCTGCACTCTTCCACATAAAAATTTTGGTGAATGGATGAAACGACGGTAGCCAGATGGGTGCCATTAGTGTAGCTGGAGAGCGTAAAGAAAGGAGGGAGCCTCATCTGGAAGGCGAGTGTTGAAGGCAGGACACGTAGCTGGGAAGGACAGGAGACAGCTACAGGGTGGCTTGTGTACACCATTGGATCCGCTGTGTGCCTAAAAGCCTCTCTGCCTTTTGATTCTGTTGCAGTGACTCCTGTGTTTCAGGAAATGTGGTTTCTCTGCGCTGCATAAGTAAGTGACTTTGTTTCTCACACTTGCCATCTTTTGATGGGTAGATGATTTAGCTGTGGTTCCCAAGCCTCAAACAGGGGATATGCAAGCTGGGGTGGGACGAGGAAGATACTGGATCCCCAATTGCTTTTGTCTTTATTGTCACCAACCAGTTCCTTATACTAATTTTCCCGTGATGAGACGTGCTGGCCATTGCTATGCAGTTGTGGTGGGAAGCCTGTAACATGTCTGCTGTGTGGCATGTGGCTGTTGGGTGGGCTCTGCTTTCCAAACTGTGATGATTGTGAAGAGATGACCTCTAACTATTTTCTGTTTTGTTGCGTAGCACAAAAATGTGTATTTATGTGGCTTGACAAAGATGTCTGAATGCAGCAGCCTTCAAATGTGTAGCAAACCACTGTTTTGTTGTCATCTTGAACTGAGCTGGAGAAACTGTCCTCCAGACTACGTTGTTCCTTAACTAATGCCTGCATATGTAACCCCTTAGATTGTGGCGTGTCCACTAAAAACGCGAAAATTATGAGCAGAATCGTGGGTGGAAGCGCTGCATCACTGGGCCAGTGGCCGTGGCAGGTCAGCCTCCACGTGCAGGATGTCCATATCTGTGGCGGCTCCCTCATCACCCCTGAGTGGATAGTGACCGCTGCTCACTGCGTGGAAGGGTGAGTGCCAAACCCTGGGGCAGCTCATCCACAGTACCACGAAATAAATGTATTTATCTGCATTCATCTTCAGAATAGCTATTCTTGTCACTTCAGGCCAAAATAAAGGTTAACCACAAGACTTCTGGTTTCCCACTTTATAACCAAGTTGAATGCCATTTTTCCCCTCTTGAGTGCAGGTATTAGCTAACACATTTTGTTAGCTAATGCAGCTGTGCAGCTGTGTGGCTTTAAGGTGTTGAGGGAAGATTTGATTTAGAAGAAACTAGATGCAGATTTGCTGTTTGCATCCTATAGAAAGGAAATCTGATTTTACTTGGTAAAGGTGGAAATTAAATTTGATAGTGGTGTTGGGCTCGGATATCAGGCTAATAAGTTGGGTACCAAATTTACTTTGGCCCTTGTGAAGAAGAAGGAAAGGAAAAAACCTTGGAAGGAAAAAACCCACAACTCTAATATCACACAACTGAACATGTGATCAGTTTAAAGTTGGTCTAGATTTGTTACCCTGCAGCCCAAAGATGTGCAGAATTTAACAGCAGATACATCTTAAATTCCCCACATCTTTGGGCTACAGGGTAACAAAGTCTTACTTTATGTCGGTATCAGCAATAACAACAGCAGCAAAAAGCTGGTGTTTTGTCTTTTTTAACCTATGAAAACAGAACCTTAGAGGGCATTCAGAAGTCTGGTACCTTGTGTCCTCTGTCAGAATGTGCTATTAGCCACTTTTATAGGACTTGTCCACTAAAATTAAGGAAAAAAAAATAATGGTTGTTGTTTAGCTGGATCACAGCTAGGGGCTAAGACAAGGAAAAAAGACTTTGTCCTTAACCTTGAGAAAGGAATGCAAGTGTTTATTTTTATTTGAAGATCTTATTCCTCTTCTGTTTGCTAGCTTGGGCTCTGTAACAGGTAAAAGTTTTAGGAATGGCAACCGAGCGGTAGCTGGTACAAAGCTGGTTTTCAGTCCCCACTGTTTGCAGGACAGTTAGTTGCAGCCTTGGCAGCTCTTCTAGAGTGAGGTTTAACCCTGTGGGCAGTTTTCTACAGAGCATTTGTAAACTGCACTAAGAGACCATTTAACATACATCTAGCAAGTGTAAACGTAAAACGTAAATAGTTCTAGCACTTTTTAAAGCCTGAAATTTCTTCAAGGGTTCTGTTTTACCTCACTCTGGCTTCTGAATTTTCTGTGCTTCTGATATAACACAAAAGTAATACTACTGGCATGTGAGACTTAGGAATGACTGTTTGATGTCTTGAAATCAATAAAGAGACCACAGTGCGGCAGTCTCCCATGTAATTTGCTAAGTGGCTAAGGGGATAGCCAGTGATACTTAACGTATATCAAAGAATTTTATGTATTTATTTTTAGAAACCGGAGTCAAGCTTTTCTTAAACTTGATGTCTTGCACTCAGGCTTTCAAAAAACTGATTCTGAGATCTTTGTTAAATTATCTCCCTCTTGCACTGTTTTCCTGTTTGTGGCTTTTTGATGTTTATGGAACAATAGTGTTTGCGCACTGACTTTCTCCTTTTCTGAATGTGTTAATTCATTTGGACTAACATCAGCAAAATATAGCACTATTGAAGTGGGCAGGTGTGGAGAGAGTGGCCAAAAGTAAATAAGTGAAAGGTTACTGTTTACTTTTGTGTTCAGAAAGGGTTGTCAAATGTACGTGCGTTCTTGGGGATAATAGATTTTGAAGTTGTAAACTGTGACTCCTTACCAGAGAAGCAAACCTTCTAACCTTTTGCCTTTTCTCTAGGAAATATTCTAACCCGTACAGCTGGAGAGTTTATGCTGGGATCCTGAATCAGCAAGATATGATCTACAGCGATGGACACAGTGTGCAAAAAGTCATTTCCCACCCAGATTATGATGCAGATTCTAAAGACAACGATGTTGCCCTTATGAAGTTAGCGGCTCCATTAACTTTTAATGGTATGTACTCTGCTCTTCCTAAAGACCAAAAAAAAAAAAAGAAAAAGAAAAAATTGTGATAAGCATATCCTTTAAAACTTACTAAGTTAGTCAAGAGATCCTTCTAGACACTTACCCATAGGAAGAACATGAAGTGTAGGTAGAGACATCTTGCTGTTTCCCCTGTGATGGGGGCTGAACACAGAATTTTCTAAGTAAGGATTATTCAAATCTAGTACATACCAAGGGTTTGTATATAGAAATTTATTGCAGAGGTAGGGTTAGCTTTTGACTTGTTCACTGTTCTCCTTCTAAGTATTGTACTTCTGCTGCAAAATACTATATGGTGCGTAAGAATCGTTGCCTCTTATACGCGTAGTCTCAGGATGTAACGTTGTGGCAACTGACTAAGCTTTAAGCCAAATATAGAAAAATGTTATGGAAAAAAAGAGAAATGTTCCAAGTTCCTGCTCAGATTCTTTTTGTTTGCTTGTTTCTGAAACTTGTTAAATTGAAATAACCTTTTCTTAAAGGTGTCAGTTGGTTGTAAGCAAGCAATAAAAACTAGAAGACCAAGAATTATTTAAACAGAGGACTTTATACAGGTGCTATCTGTATAGGTGCTTTATATTTCAGTGCCTCAAGTTAAAGCTACTAGAAACAATCTGAAAGAAGTTTTCTGATGCTGAGAATATGGAGATTGTCTGTTTACCATACACGTTTTTGTGCCTTGTTTTCCCATGCATTTAACACTTCTTGTATCCAGTCTCACTTGTTCTATTATTCTTTCAGCAGGATTTTGCAAAGAGAGTGCAGAAATCTATTGTGAAGGGCCCGTTGCTTATCTGTTATTGATAAAGTTGTTTGAAGATTTTCCTCTCCTTTTTACTCCTTTACTCAAAAGAGCTGGCATTAATTACCTTGATACTCAAAGAATTGGGCTAGTGTGGTTCACTGTGCTTGTTCCTCACTTTGAGGTCAAGGCTAAGCAGCATCTGGGAAAGGGCAGCTCCTAAGCTCTCCACTGCTGCCTACATGGTGCAGTAATTGGTTAAATGCAATTTCTCTGAAGTACAGAGAAAATGTGTGGTGCATATGTATTTATGTATAAAGTAAGAGCTGGCCATGCTCAAATGTTTCCAGTGTGTTTATTTTGAATTATGCCTGGACATCTGGAATGACAGCCTGCCACTCTGTTTGCTTTGTAGACAATGTAAGGCCAGTTTGTCTGCCCAACCCGGGAATGATGTTCCAGTCCAACCAGGAGTGCTGGATATCTGGGTGGGGAGCAGAGTACGAAGGAGGTAAGAGCAGCTCCAGGATGCTTTTGTACAAAATCAGTCCCCTTCAGTCTGACAAATACATCTCATGGGCTATAAGCAGAAAGTATGAGCCAGATCAATAAATACTCCATATTATTTGGGGTTGCAATTGGCAGGCTCCACTTCCTCTTGCTTTACGATATGCACTAGAACTTATTGACCTCTTGGAAGGGAGTATTAATGTCATGCTAGGAGTCATACGCCTAAATGTCTGTTCCTATGTTTCCAGTAAGTTTTTTTTTTTTTCATCTTGGGGTTTGTGACAGCAATATTATCTGATGCTTGTTCTAATTTTGTCCTTGTGTCTGTATTTTTGCATATGTCTCAACTTCAGGCAAAACATCAGATAGCTTGAACTCTGCTATGGTACCCTTAATAGAACGTTCTAGTTGTAATTCAATCTATATCTATAATGGCATGGTTTTACCTACAATGGTCTGTGCTGGATTTCTCACAGGAGGAATTGATTCCTGTCAGGTAATTCATTTTTTTTTTAATAGCTGATAATGATGTGATTGATTATTTTAAGTCATATTATTAGTAATTTTAAAAAATCTTTTGCTAGTTATAAACTGATTGTACTAAAGAAAAAAAACTTGAAGTGACTAACATTTTTGACAGGCTTGTAGTTCCTTTTGTGTTGCATCCTTTTAAAAGGAAGAGCTTTTGTTACGATATTCTGAATAGCTGGCAATGCTCAGTTCTTGCTAAAAACATGAGGAGGGTGAGGCAGGTGTTTTTTCAATGCTTTGATGGTGTGTTTTGTTGTCTTGTGCTTGAAAATAAATGAATAATGCTTTTCATAGCCACATAAGTACTCTAGTATTGCACTTGTGAATGGGGAAGTCTATAAACTGTCTCAATGCTTTGGGCAAAAAATTTTCATGCGTATCACATTTAATATTGTAATTGCTGCAACAAGTTGTTTTACTCTGGAAATTATATTTCTTTATTTTAAGCCTATCTTAACCTATTCCTGAAATGATACGAACTGTGTCTTTCCAGGTGGTCTGTTAACTAATGATATGCTTATGTTTTGTGCAGGGTGACAGTGGAGGTCCTTTAGTAACTAGTAAAAACTCTGTGTGGTGGTTGGTTGGAGATACCAGCTGGGGAACTGGCTGTGCTACTCCCAACAGACCTGGAGTTTATGGGAATATGACTGTGTTTACAGATTGGATTTATAAAATTATGCAGGTAAAATATTTGGAGGTTTTAATATTTTTAAATACCCCAAATCCTGAAATTTGAGCTTAAATATTGATAACCTGAATCTTGTCTGACACTAAAGTTATTTCCTTGAGAAGTATCCAAATAATTGGTAAGACAGAGTCTCTTAGCAGAGCTGCTTTGTTTGAATAAGCCTCTTTTTTTCCCTATTTTTTAAACAGGCAAACAGATGACAACACTCTCTGTCTTTCTTGCTGATCGATGTTTCTGAGAACAAGCCTAAATGAAGCCATGGGTTCCTGGGATATTTATTCACCTTGCAGATGATTTTTCTTTCTGAATTTTATTTTTTAAAAAGCAACATGAAGGATCACACACTCGGTTCTGTGCTGGTTACAGTGACTGATTTAATCAATGAAGAATTATCACAATAAGCACCTCTCTCCTGAATGTGGTGCCTGGCAGAAAGCTGTTCTGCTTGGAGAAAGCAGAAAGTCAACTGCTCGCTCTGTTTAAGTAACTTTCACTGGATAATCAGGTGCACATTCATAATGACAATCTTGATCACAATTCAACTTAAGATTTTTGTAGTGGGATGTTCAGGCAGTTGGTTTAGTAGTGTTTTAAAATGATGTGAACATAGAATCTGTGAGCTGCTGGTTGGCATTTTAAGGAAAAAAATAAGTAATTTTTTTTTTTTGGTATATATGGAATATATGAAGGGAAGCTTTCATGCACTACAGTAGAGGCACAGAAGAAACATACTGTACATTTAACCTGTTAAAAATCCTCAGGATCTTGACAGCTGTTGTCCAGGTCGGATTGTTCAAGGCAAGATCCATCTGGCCACCTCAGTAATTAAAGCGCTGTTCTGCCTTAAGCCACTGTGAATTCCCCGAGGGCAAGACCTGCCGTCGCTCCAGGCTGTAGCAGGGAGCAGTGAAATAAGGGTCCTGCTGGGGAGGTCGGTACCTGCACACATCAGAGCATGCCTCCCAAAGGGCAAGGTTTGCTCAGTCTACGGCTGTGTTGCAAGCTGTAGGCCTCAGGTTGCAGCTGTGCATACACAGGCTGGATGCTATGTGCAAAGAACACAGATCTGTGTCTGCCTAACCAGATGACTACCTCATTTATTAAATTTGGCTTTTAATTCCTTAAAGCTCTCCTTTATGAATCTGCATGTATGTTTTTAATAAAATATGTTAAGTATCAGAGCGCCATCTCAGCTAGGATTTTTTTAAATAATTTATAATCATAGTACAGAGGATCAAAAAGCCATAACAAGTCACTTTTGATAAAAAGGATGCATCTTTTGTGTGAAAAGACTCTACTAGTCTTGTTTTCTCTGTTGGTACTGAAATGCAATTGTCTTGCAAGCAAACACTACACCAAATAAATTTTTTTTTTTTTACAAATAGTTTTCCGTGGTGGTTTGTACTTGTTTTCATGGGTATTCTTGGAAGCAGTTGTTGAATTCCGTGTCTGAAGTGCTCTAAAAATCTGTTTTAAACAAAATTCAAGTGCTCGATTCAAGATTTTTTCTTTTTTTTTTTTTTTTAATTCCAGTACATCAATACTTCTAACACTTGACCGAACCCAGGGCCAGAAAAATAAGTTGCATGTCCACATGCACTGAGGTTCTTCAGTGCCTGAGTCGGATGAGATCATTGTGGCTGGTGAGCGTGAGCCAGACCAGGCAGCTGCCCTAACGGCAGTGGGTTGAGGTAGTCACACCCTGTTTTGTTAATATAGTCTGTTAATGCACCCATATTTGTTACTCCTGCCTGAAGCGATGTGTACTTGCCTCTCTTCTCGAGGTGTGAGAGGGTGTTTTCAATAGCACGGGAGCATGAAGTGTGCCCTAGGGAATACCATGAAGAGTCAGCAAATCTAAGGAATGTTCAACATTTCTCCATCCTCACCTTAAAAAGCAAACAAACAAATCCCTCTGAACTCTAGCTTTTTAATAATTATTTTAATGATATGCCATAAGCTCATAAAATGAATGCTTATAATATGATATTGTGATTAATTTCATATATAGGCAAATGTGTGTATATACTGTGGGAAATAAAGCAGAAGGCCCAATTTTGAGAATTCTAAAAGTAAGTTTTAAAGGGCAATGACTACATTAATATTTTAGCAGATTATACACAGCTTGTCAATAATACTAGAAAGCAACAGTTGAAAAAACACTTCAAAATTCAAGGAAAGTACAGACTGGCAAAGTTTCTTAGATACTGGTAGGCTTGGGTGAGACGATCAACTCGCTCACTGAGTGAATTTCTATATTTAGCAACATCACTTTCTTCGTGGAGTAAAAAATTCAACTTTTCCTTTTCTTGCAAAAGATAGAGCATTTTGATCTGTAAGTTATCTCCAAAGTTTTCGAGGGCAGAAAACAGAATTATCAAAGGAATCTGGCTGGAGAGGCGACTTCTTGCTCTCTGCAAGGAAGAGAGAAAGGAATGACAATGAGATTTCTTTTTTTCTTCCAAACCAAGCAATAGGCAAGAGTTATAGACAATCTAGTGAGAAATGACAGCACGTTTTAAAAGTGCCTAAAGAACACCACCACCAACAACAAATATTAAGAGACTTGAGAATTTCACCAGCTCATTTTTTCCCAAAAGGATCTAAACTCAGTATAGGTTATTCCCTTCACCTCTCTGATGGCTATCAAAGGCTATCGGCTGTACTAGGGACATATCTGATGAATATTATTTATTTGCAGTTTCTAGTTTCAAACCTGACTTGCATGAACAGTACCAATCCACTACGATACAGGAGATAGGACAGAAATTTTCCAAGGTGGTAAATTCCTATATTTTGGAATTCTTTATCCTTTAGATGTCTTTTTGGATGTGGCTGTCCTTTTAAGTCTGAACACTTTGGAATAAGCATTAATCTTAAGGAACAAAATGTCTATGACAATAACAACATTTGATTGTGAATACAACTATTTGTACCTTAACAAGATAATTTTCTGCTTAATGTGACAACCTATCTATCTGAGATTGAGAGGTTCTTGCCACCGAGAAGTTTATATTGTGGTGGGAAGAGGGCTATCAGCTCGTGCTTTTGGGCAAGGGAAGGTTCAAAGCCTCTCCACTGCTGGGGGGTGGGACCTGAATCCAGTTATCCTTAACCCAGGGGAGAGACCCAGATGCTAGTAGTGCTGTTCTCCTTTCTGCATGTGGGAGCCAACGAGAACAACTTTGGGAAAACCAGGTGAAGGTACATCTGGTTTCTAAGTCCTAAAGGGCTTAAGCAGTCCCTTACCAATGAAGTCTAAACTTTTACTGGCCTTAAATACCTCTAGAGTTTACCAGCTGCAAGTCCTTTACATGAGGATGGATGTGAGCTCAAGATGAAAAGATCCCTACATTTAGGTCTTTAAGCTCTCCACCTAGTCTGTGGAGAGGTAGTCAATACAGAACTGGGTCAGATAAGGCACTTACTGAGCCAAATAAGGCACTTACTGAGCCTACCCATTCTCTGGGCACCACTGACTATGGTGAGAGGGCGGGCTGGTGATTCAGATGTGATTGTTTTCTGAAGCTAAATCCCACCCAGACCTTCACAGAGCTGCCATAAATGAGGTAGGCTCGTGGGTACTATTTTCAAAAGCCATGGACATTTAAGGGCTCCAGTCTCAAGGGAGGTGAATTCAGTATCTTAAGTACAACGTGATGAGATGCCCTGGTGTTTGTTACTGTTGAAAAATTGGTGCTTGAGGCTTTTGTCAAAAAGTACAACTAGTATTCAAGTCTTTGTCCGACAGCAGAGTGTATAGCAGGGAAGGGAAGGAAATTTGCAAATACGCCTTTGGCTCTTGCTCTCGTACTGCCACTTCCTGGAAGGGCAGCCTGAACACTGAAATGTAGGAATTCATGAAAATCCTGCTATTGAAATTCAAGGTGAGCCACTACCTAAGCTACCGGTTATTAATATTTAACTTGTTATGTTCTGAGGGACTTATACGAAGCAAAGGTCAACACCAGAAAAGCAAGTTCTCAATTCCAGGTGTTCTCTTTGCTGCCGCACTCTAACACGACGCAGCTCGTGGCGCCAGTTTTACCCTGGTGTTTTCAGTGCTGGCTGCCAGAAGCTGATTTGGACAGAAGCTACGTGGACAGGGCACCAGCACCCCGTGACTGGTAGTCTTCGTGTGTGGTAGTGCGGGGAACTGCTTGGTGCCTGGCGCTGATGCTTGTGTTCACCGCAGCAAGATTGGGCCGCAGGGCAGAGCCTATAGCATGCAGAGTGCAGCAGAAATACTGGTCTGTAGCCTGTAAACTTACGCTGAAATATGCCTGTGTGTGCAAAATCATTCCCTCGGCGATGGAGGGATCTTGCTTTGCAACAGCTCCAGAGCCCTGACCGAACACCTGTGGTTTCACCTGGGCGCTCTTTCTTTCCTCCTGAACAGCTTTTAAAGAAGCAATGTAGCTGTAGTCCTGGCAGTACACTATTTGCTCCATTTTAAACTGGGTCTGGATGGTTCTTTCAGCCTCTGCTGCTTGTTTCTCTTTAATGTCTTCAATGCTGGCCTAGGATAGGAGAAAATGGTGAACTATTGAGAAGTTTGCTTCGTTTATGAAGATGCCAGTACTCAGCACTGTCCCCAGGGAAAGGCAAGGTTGGACACAGCTCTTACTGCTGCACTGTCTAATCCCAGCCTGGCGCTTGGGAGCTCATCATCATGGTTTAGATACTGATTTCTCTCTGGTGAAAGACCAAGGAAACGTGACACTATGTCCTCACCCTAAACTCCTGCACAGGATTGGCAAAACATGACTCCTGGAAAATACCAAGCCTGATGGGAGCAGGCAGCAATTTCCAGTGATGGGTTCAACCTGCTCTCAGGTTTTTGCGGGTATTTTCACCGTGTCCTGCTTTTGCAGAGAACAGTGACAGTGGTACCCACATGAACTCCATTTCCTCTCCTGCCCTCCTCAGAAAACTCTGATCTTCTATCTGTTGTCAGCAAATCACTCCTAATTCTTGGGCTTTTTTATTACTGCTATTTACTGGTCTTTTTTGAAACTTTCATCTGAAACATTGTAGGGAGCAGGAGGGTCCCTTCAGTCATCCTGAAAGTCTCTTGAAATACTTTCTTAGCATCCCTTAGACTGAAGTCTTAAAAAAATGAAGTTTTTTTTCTTATCTTTAATCTTTTTCTTACCTTGTCTTCATCTTTCTCACATTATGACTAAAGAGGCTCTCTAGAAACATCTGTGCTTGGCTGAAATAGCTGATTTCTGCCACCCCAAAGCACCCAACACCACCAAAACCTGAACAGGCATCATCGAATTCTCCCACAGCGGGGTGGTTTGGACTTGTCTACTTCTGGCTGCCTTTCATGAACAGTGAGACTGCCACACTGATTAACACTCTGGCTTGCCTTTCAGAAAGCCAAAAGCACTGTTAAATTCTCGATGTTAAAGACCCACATGCAGAACTGGAATTTGAAACAAATTCTGAACTCTTCAAGACAGGCATACTAGGTTTTCTTAGCCGAGTGTTTTATGCATCAAAAATGCAACCAGAATGAATGAAAAAGCTGCATTTTAGACCTTGCCAAAAGATATTGAAATATGCTTTGTCAAAGCGTATTTGACAAAATACACTTTCATTAATTTTGTTATAAATGTTCTATTGTACCATAAGCAAGGCTGTATTTACAAGTGGCATTCTGTCTTACTGTTGTCTTATCCCAAGTTATATGCAGTCTCTCACCTTGGCAACTCTATATAGATTGTGAAACTCAGCAAAATGCTTTTTAGTCACTGACAGAAAAAACTCTTCAACGATGCCTATGGGAAGAAGAGAGAAACAATATGAAATCAGTCGAGTTCATGGTCTTGCCATGAGCTGTTTTCACAGGGGAGTAGCACAGGAACTGGAAGTCAGCATCATGCTCGCAGGTTCCAAGTCAGGCTTTCTCTGTGTTACTCTTTTGCTGACGTCTGCATCCCTTCCCGGTAGCCTGGTGGCAGAAATGGCCAAAAGACCTCCAATAAACCCTCTTTCCCCTGCCAAGGGCTACTTGGATTGGACGGATAATAAAATCTCACAGTCACAGAGTCTAATTCAGGACTTTAGGCAGGTGGGTCAGCAACGGGAGACACGGGATGACAACATACTCCTTCCTTTGGTGTTTTTCACTGGATGAATTATGGACACTTCCACCCATTCACACAGTTGGTGTGTAATAAAAGTAAATGTGCAATGAATTTGCAAAGATGCTAAGTTCCTACTTTAGGGTTTGTGCATTGCACTTCCTGAGTGAAGGCCACATGAGAGACACCAGACATACCAATCACAGTGTTCATCATCGCAACAGCTGGCTCCTCCAGTTTCATGACTTGCTCTTTTATAATGTCCTCAAAAGTCTTGTAATTGGTAAAGCCCGGGAGCTCCCGTCCACGATACTGGGCTTCGTATTTCTCTACATTTTTAGGTACACTATCTGTAACTGTAAAATTAAAAGAAAATTGCTTTAATACTAGATTTATAAATTACAGATTTAAGAAGGAAGTCTATGTCTTCTCTCTGGAAATGCTGTTGGCAGGACTTACTACTGATCTGATCTTTTAAGGAATGTGGTTATTACAGAACTGAACTAAGAGAGTTTATTGCCTTATGAATGAGACATTTCACTCATTTGAGTAAGCATCCAAAATGACAGAAAGCAACCCATAAATGATGAATGGGCTCAAAATTACTGACTCTCTGTAATTGGTACTCTCTCGGATTTTGACACTACCAGCCAATTTTGAGGTGTATTAAATACATATATATATATATATATATATATATATTTAAAATAACATCCACTAAAGAGGCTTATCTCAGGGAACCTAATGTAGACTAGATCGTTTTGGTTAAGACAGCATAGTCATTATGCCTTTGTTAATGTTATAGGAATTTACCATCTTAAATGAGAAATACTGAATCTTTCAAATCAAATGCAAGTGATGTTTTTCTTTGCTTACCCTTCATACTAATCTCATGGAGAACTGCTTCCCAAGTTTGGAACTCTCTGCGGATTTTTGTAAACAACCTGGTTTCGTTTTCAGATATATGTTCCTCTCCTTTTATTGAATGAGCAATATCCTCATTAAAATATTTGATTAGCTGCAATATATTAAAAAAAAAGCAAGCAAGGTAGTAAAATTTCATTTTTTCAGACTAATTTATATATGTTAAGTAAATCTTTAGTTGTTTGATGTTCAAGTAGGCTCACTGTTCATTGAAAATATCCTTTACTCCTCTTTTGCTCCTGGTATTTCTGCAAAATCAGCACATCTAGGGGAGACTAACTTGATCTGTGGGCTCATACAACCACTTACTAAATTCTAACGGACCTGACAGACAAAATCTTTGAAGACTGACAGGCCTGCACAAGTGCTGCCACTGGCCTGCAGAAAATACACTCTGAGTTACGATTCTTGCCGTGAGCAGAGAAACCCAGCTGCACTTGCAAACCATTTTTTTTTTTGATATCAGGGCCTCATTTAATCTTATGAGAACCATAAACAACAGCAATCTTCCAAAATGCTACGCTAGGAAGACTATAAGTTTTCCCTCTCCAGCATGACTGATTTTGACCAATCACGTTGTACTTTAGTTCTCTTGTCACGTAATCACAAAAAAAAAAAAAAAGAAAAAAGAAAAAAAAAAGAAAAAAAAAAGAAGAAAGTGCTGAAAGGTCCTCTAGTCCATTATTTTTGCCAGGAGACATGATGGCAGATATTTGTGCAATTTATTGTCAAGATCCTTCAATGGCAGGTTCTACAAGTAATGCACACCAATGCTTCAGCAATGCCTTGCTATCTGTAAAACATTTATCTCTCCAGCACCTACTTCCTTTTGCTGTTCTGTAACTAAACCAACATTTATACTTACATCTGTGAGTACACACAGCTTTTCAGATTCTGTTTTGAGCGTGCCTCTCTTGAATTTGCGTAGTTCTTGGAAGTTTTTTTGGAGTTCAATGTGTATTCGGTTCTTTACAGTAGGCAAAGTTTTCTGGAGGGTGGAAGTCAGAAAGATGAAAGATGATTAGGTAGTTTGTACATGACTCTTTTTTAATTTTTTTTGATGGGGTGTGAAGGAGTGGGGAAATGAAAGAAAACCATGCTGAGACTGACTCAAGCCTGCACATAAACTGTTGCTGTTAGGAGACTGAGAGCAGCTCCGCTTCCTGTTGCTTGTATCCCTTGGATGACAGCGGGACAACACAGAAGTGCAAACATGACCTTCACTTAAAAAAAAAAAAATGACAGGGAAAGGCTTTGATATCAGGGCTGGGTCTTGTGGTGAGGTGGGCAGAACAGCTGTAGTCTAGCAGAAGGTTTCACTTATAGTGTGAGCCAAAAAGTATGTCCCATTCCCCGGTAGCAGAGAGGTGGTGATGCGGGGAAGGTACGGAATCCTTCATTTCTGATAAATATGTGACTGATCATAGCTGTTCGGTTGTTTATTTGATTTCTTATTTTATGTAAGCTTACATAAATACATATATTTTTCCTCCTTCAGCCCTGAATTGAAAAGATCTTTGTATTTCAGCATTTTCCCATAATAGAATAATGTATATTACATATATAATAAAACAATATATTAACATTATACTATAATAAAGTAATTAAGTTTCTACTTGAGATTTTGAAGACATATTCAGTTCACAGAAATTATTTTGCTTTGGCAACCTGACATTAATAACTTGTCACCAAGCCATCAAAGCTGTTTGCAAACAAAAGGAAATATCATCACTACCAATAAAAAAACAAGGGTTACGAGTCACAGGCAAATGAAGTGATTTGCTCGTCAATCCTTACTTAGGCTAAAAGCAAATTTGAGAACAGATATGGGTTTCCATAAATACTATGCAAATAACTTTAACTTTTTTTTTTTTTTAATTGCAATCCAAGACTAAAGGATTTGGCTTATTTTTAAATAGTAAAACATACAAAAAGCTTAATGTGACATCTCTATACTTACAATAATATGTCCCACAAGTTCTCGTGTGAGCGTCTCTGCCAGAAGAGGGATAGTAGCCTTTCCTTCATTCAGAAAAATGCTGCCAAAAAAGGGAAGAAAGGTGATTATGGGCTGAGCACTTTTGCAGGGTAAGGGAGCAACACTCCTTTGTTTTTACTGCTATGCAAGGGGAGTGCCAGTGCAGACACAGGAGCAACTCAGGAGCTTCTGAGCCCAACAGCTTTTCTACAAGAATTGACAACTACTGATACTTGTTAAAGATAAGGAAACAGACTGAAAATAGCGTTTACTATCACGACATTGGAATACTGTTGCACTGTTGCTGCATGTGAAACTGAAACTGCATGCTGAACTGAAATCCTTTTCAGTTGTATGTATACTGCAGCTGATTTGCTGCCAAGTCATCTTCTGGGGAAAACCGTGCTGGTGCCGTCAACACAGGCAGCTATTTTTTCTCTTGCTAAACTTCACAGTTTTTCAGTGAATAGAAATACTCAGCAAAGTACTTAACTTGAAGTGCTCAGATACTTGCCCTGATTTCCTTGCGGCTATTCTGAACTTCTGAGGTTCATTGCACCTCTCCAGCGGAGGGGAGCTTAAGCAATTCCTCAAACTTGCAACTAAAATATATTTAAAACAATCATTTGACATGTAAAATTCTGCTCACTTACTGCAGGGCAACACTACATAGGCAATGACAAAAAATAGCAGATAGAATTCCTGTTTGCAATCCTAACTGAAGTCTCAGAAAGTCAACACTTTCTTTTTTCCTTCAGTGACTTTAGCGCTTTAGAATAGATCCTTTGCATGAGAACTACCTAAAATGTTTATGAGTTTCAAAGAAAACTTTCTCCTGCTGGATCGCAGAGGCTAAGGTCAGATTGTTGCGGATGTCCTGTTGCCCACGACACTTCACGATCATGTAACCTTTCTTGAGGGGGACGATCTGATTTCGTAGTATTTTAACAATAGACTCCTCAGTTCCTTTGTCCACCAAATCAGGTTTTGTGAGGATTCCTGTTAAGTCACACAGAGAGAAAATTACTTGCACAGAAAGTAAAGGTGGAGAAGATCCATTAGGATATTTTATCATCAGAGCAGGACTGTTCTGTATAGTGTTTCTAAAGTAACTTTTTATCTCTGTTTTGCTTTTTCTTTCCTAGAAAGCTCTCAGCTCCTGGGCTTAGCACTGTAAAACTTACTCTACAGTTGGACTTCCAACCACACCTTTTGCCTTGCTCACCTTTCTAATACACAACAGCAAGGTTTTCCCACCATTAGCTTTGAGGTTTTAAGTTTCCAGTGTCAGCAAGACTCAAAACCAAGGTACTGAAAGCGTACTGGCTCTCTTTCAGTTTTGTAAATAAATTTACAAGAGCTTATTTAGTTTTTTTTTTTTTTTTTTAATTTGTAGCAGTAAACTTTGCAGAACTGGTGAGGGGTACAAAACACTAGATTGCATGGAAAAAAACACACACTTCAACTTGTAGCATAAAAAAGTCTCACCGAGTGTCCTTTCTCCCTTGGGGTCCACCATCTGAGCCATTTTCAGTGCTTCTGTTGTTGCAATATCCACATTACACGGCACCACTACCAAATTGAGTGTCTCTTTGTTGCTGATAATGCTTTTAAGTAGGTTTTTGATCTGTAATATAATACAGCAGTAATGAAGTTCAGTAAAATCAGATGCTAGCATGTCGGATGTGACCATCTCTGTCAATACCAATTAATTTCGCTGTCTGATGCCATGCAGTGTCACATACACTGAGGGTACTTTTACATGCTAAAAGATGTCCTGGAAATGTCAGAAAAAGAATGCAGCCTCCTGCTTTCTAAAGATATATCCAATCATCCAACATGAATGAAAACAGACTGTTATACTTGTCCTGAAAGCTATAAAAAAAACCCCATCACATTCATGATGGAAAGGCAAATGCATTTGACTTCTATTTCAGTGGACCATTAGCATAAAAACAAATCTTATGAGACATTTAGTTGGCATTGTTTCCATGTTGCAATGCCAAAATAACAGAGTTTCTCATGGTTTGTGTTGTATTGCAAATGTTCACACTGCTCTATTGTGCTTATACTGAATTAAATTAACTCTTTATTCAGAGTTTTGGTTAAGTTGTCTCTATGTTTTATACTTGCCTTTCAGATTGATTTCTGACAAAATAAAATTATATAACCTCCATATCTGAAACATGCAGGCTTCTGGGGACAACGGAAATGTATGGATGATGTTGCACTAGCTGCTCTCTCTTTTATATAGATGAAAAATTACTATCTTATTGTAAAATTAAATTACTCCTATCCCAAGAGTAAAACCCATTTTTATTTCCTTTGCTGCTCTTGCAAGATTACCCAGTCCTTTCTCATTCTTATACTGACATGTCCAGCTGGTGTTACTCTTATTCCAACTTTGTACTTGAAGCTATCTTACTAGAAATACTGTACCCAGTTCCTTCTTATCATGTTTAGGTCCTGTCATTATACAGCTATGTTGGCATTCCCTAGCCGTTTCTTCTAAAAGCTACATGAATAATGGTCTGCTGCGATCGTTTAGGTGATCAGAAAAAGAGTGGGTCACATTCTGATCAACCCTATATGTGAGGCACAACAGAGCACTGAGCCAGTAAGAGAAAGTTTTCCTGCTTGCTCCAGAAGAGCTTTCATGACCTCGACTGTAGCCACCTTTGCTAAATACATCCACAGGTTGGACATAAGGCATTTTGAGACTCATCTATCTCCAGTCAAGCATTGTGTTCAGAGACAGTCTGCCTATGAAACAGTGTCCATACAACTGGGTTATGCCAAGCTGCCATGGGTGGTTATGTCAAGCACCTGAGAAGACTCATTTACAGCTAGCCTGGCCAGCTTGCTCCTGCACTGTGGCACTGAGAAGGATCCTGGTCCTTGCTGGTTAGCTACAATACTGTAGCTTTAATTCTGGCCTGGAAGCTGAGTATAACAACCCCAGTATCCTGTATCAAAGACTCACATTTAAGGTAGGTTACAAAAGTGACCTTTTGCACAGGTTAGCACATAAGACTGAGTTTTACCTGGTCACCGATGTTTTCTGGCTGATCTCCTACAGCCACTCTAGCAATTCCAGGAAGATCAATTAGTGTCAGGTCCGGCACAGTTGGGGACCAGACTTCTAGGGAAATTAGTTCTCTACTGATGGCACCTCTAGTACCAGCCACAACATCCTGGGCTACAAGGAGAAAAGAGCAAGGCAATGAATACAAGGTTCAAAAAATGCACCAAAGTGAATTTGAGAAAGGAAAACAATAACTATACAATGAAAAGTATCTACTACCACCTAAAGCTCTTTCAGGTATGACTTTTTCTCTGGCATGGCCAAGCATGGAAATCCATTTATGCAAAATCTTAAGGAAATTAGTAGGGAATATATGGTCTCTTTTTTGAATGTGAACTATAATATTTTGCAGAGTATTCATGTGACTTACTGTCACATAAACAGACAAAATGCATCCCAATATGCAAAACTATAACAAACTATAACAAAACAATATGACAAGCAATATAACAAACTATAACAGAAGTGATAGGATACTAGCCAGTTACAGAAGTGCTTTCTCAATATCAAATCTCTTTTCAGACATTAATTAATTATTGACAGCTTTGAAAGATAAATAGATATTATTCTATATTCTTCACAAGTTGATTGCGAGGTTGAGAGCTCAAGGAATTTACTCCATGTCTTATACAGAAATAAGATGAACACTGTGAACAACACAGAGGAGCAGGGACACACATTCTCCTGTGAGCACTGAATCACACTCATTACATTTACTTCATATAGCTATGCAATTTTATAAATTCTGTTGATGTTTGATACCAAAACAAGTAACTTCTCGTGAGAGATGAACTCTGTAGCTATCTTACTCAGTTAATATCATCACTATTTTTTGAAATATTTCTTGAAAAACTCCAAGCAACTTATACAAAACACAGTGAAACAACTTGACAAGGTAGCAGAGCAGTGCAAATCAAGAACATAAGGACAATCCAAATCCTATGTCCAGAAAGACATTTGGGGCACGTGCTTATTTGCCCTTTGAGTAACAAAAGTGTTTTCTTGCACTGCATGAAATATCATAAAAGTAAAGCAATGCTTGGGGCTGTGTTCACAGTAACTAGTAGAAACCCTGTATATCCTCCAATGTGTGCTCTTTAATTTTCTCCAAAATCATAAGGTTTCCAGCCCTAGATGCCACAATCTTTCCCTGGGCTTTTGCACTGGAAATATGAGCCATTTAAGGCTTGATATGTTCACAACTCAACAGACAAAAAAACAGATAAATAACATCCAATTGAGGACTTGGCTTGAGCTTTTATCAGACATCATGGATCATATTCACCACTGAAGTGGTGAGTAGTAAAACACTCTTCATGTATCTATGCTATCCCACCTTCTTCTACTTTAAATTTGTTTCTTAGCAGTTATGATCACACTGTATGTTAGTATGGGGACTGCTGTCCATCTTAAGAAAAAGGTAGTGACAGGAGATTGAGCAAGTCATATCAGAGGGGAATATGTTATAGCTTACCTCTTCTTACTGCTCTCTCCACCTCTGAGGGGTTCTCAAGTTCTTCACTGATATGTCGGTAACTAATTTTCCCTTTCCATTTCTGGGTACCAGCTGTTTTTTTGAGTCTAAGTTCCAAGGGACATCTTGTAACGATACCTATAACAGTTCCAAAGATGGAATTAACTCATGTTAGCAGTTGTTACATATAATACACAGTAAGTGTGCTGCAAATGGTGTCGTGTACACAAAGATAGATAGTACGTTTCATAGAGCCACAAAAATGTTCCAAGGGACCTTTAACAGGCTGTCATCCAGCTTCCTGTTTCCAAGCAGGACTGTCACCAACTCTAGATGTGATCAGCTCTCAGCTTTGTCCAACTATATCTTGCTAACTTGGATGGAGTAACCTGCTTCAATGCTGCACCACCATCCTATGAAAAAGTTTTTTTTTCTCAAGTCCCCCCAAAAGACTACATGCACTGAGAACTGAGGCAATTTCAACTGATTCAGAACTTGTGGAAATTACAGGTGTATAGGCCTATAGCATAGGCACACACACATATATATATACATATGGAGCTGCAAGGTGAATCATCTTGTGCTGCAAATAACTTCCAACAACCTTCTCTGATTTGAAAACATCGAAGGCAGGTGATCATGTAAAGATTATTTCATATTTTATCCTAAAAAAAAGTAAGAAAACTGTGATCCAAAAAAAAATTCCCCAAACCCTAACCCCCAAGAAAGCAAATTTCAAAATCAGTGTTTCGTATGGAAGTGAGACTCTGCTGCACTTGCAGTATAGCTTTCCGGGGAATACGCTGTGTCAGCTGATGCTGCCTCTCAGGCTATCAACAATTTTGGGCAAGTATGCTACATTATACTTCTCTTAGTTTTGATTCCTAGACTGTTCAGAACATGCAACCTGTCGGCACAACACTGCAGTTCCCCACCTGCGCATCCATTTATTCTAATGGAAGACATTATTCTAATGGGAGACAACATCCCCATGTTCCACAATTTAGATGATACAGTCTCTATCATGAGTTATCTACTCCCAGATGGAAAAAAAAAAAAAAACTCTTCTACCTCATCAATATAAAATTCAGAAATTTGGGTGAAAGAAAGGACAAATTCTTACCATTTCCTCTAGGAAGAGCAACACCAGACAGGGCTTCCAGGACAGAGCTTTTTCCAGAGCTCTGGTCTCCGATCACTGCAATTGCAGGCAAAGCCATATCTTCTTCTACTCCAAGAGACCTCAGACTGTCGATGAGATCAATGCAGGGGCGGATCTTTTGCTCATATTGCTTGTACAAGGTGTGTTCTTCTATCTGTTAGAATTAAAGTTGCATTTTTTTGTAACTTTTAGCTAAGTTATTTTCACAAAACCTTCTAGGCATCTCTTCCAGCTTATCATCCTTTAATAAACCTTACATACTGATGTCACTCTATGTTTCATATCATTGTACATCCTTGCGCTACCATGTTATAAACAGGTGTCTGCAAATACAACCAAATTATTTGAGGTTGACTTAGTGATTGAAACATTTTTGATAAAAATACCAAACTTCATAAGTTATCATCTGAGAACTATACAGGTGGAAAGTAAGAAGAGACCCCACTACTAAAGATGTTTTGTTCATTTATTTTTTTGATAACTTCCATCCTTGCTTTTACTCATCTACAAATGTACTGAAGGATATATGCGAATGAATGCATACAATCAAAAATAAGATAATTTAGTACAGAAGAGCATATTAAATCTTTATTTTGAATTCTGAAGATTTAGTTTGTGTGCAGACATCAAAGGGATTCTGCTCTAGTGTCTTTAATAGGTGGCAAAAGATCTTTTAAATCATGTCTTCTTTTGTTGCTTCATTTTAATCCAAAGTAAGGTAAATGAAAGCAAGTGATTTCCTTTAAATGACTAACTAATGCCATTTTTTGTTTTTGGTAATATGTACCAGATGTTAACATGGGATCTTCCTTTTATGAAACCATTTTTTTTTCCAGCCTTTCCCAAAACTGGTCTGCTTGCTGCTAAATATTGCCAGGTAAGTGAAGGGATAGCTTGGTACCTTCTCGCAGTTCCTCCTTTTATGTTCCAATCTGACTGCTGATTTATAAAAGCATTTATAAATTTTGAGGACATCAATATTTTATAAGACTTAACAGTCCAACCACATTCATTCATTTTTAGAAAATAAAAGCTGAAGTGGCTAACCATCACCTTAGTCTAAGAAAACCATATTTGAAAATATGTGTATCAGATGTAAGCAAGAAGAGTAGATTTGTCTTTCAAAGATAAGAAAGACAGTATTCATTCCCATATGCAGGTATTTTAAAAGCATTTTGGTAACACCTCTCCACTATCTTCATTACAATGTTTGCTAGCTAGTAAATGCTTAACCATTCTTCAGAATTTCATTTACTATGCCACAGACTTGAAAAAAATCTGCCCTGCCAATCCAGTGTTAAAAACAGAATATGGATATATATTAAGATTTCTTTATATTCCTGTTGAAGGTATTGGAGCCTTATGTAAAAAAGTATCTTAGATTCTAGGATTTCCATTTAACATTTGCTAATTGTGAGCAATGAAATAGATACATATTGCACAGTAAATTTGCTGCTTGGCTGTTCCCATCCTACTTTTTATACTTGTACTTTTTATGCCTGCAGATTAATTGCATGTAGACATCTTCCTAGTTATACAAATTATTGCTTGGGCCCTGATCCCAGAACTCCAGCCTTTAGACCTAAGTACAGATCAGCCAAGGAGACACAGGAACTGATTTGGGGGCACAAAGCAAAACACGAGAGTTACTGAGAGGACGATCTGTGTCCTCCTCTGCTACCTGGCTTACCTCATCCTGTATTTCGTAATACAATTTCTCTAACTTTTTCTGCACCTTCTGAGATTTTCTCTCAGATGGAGCCTTTTGCGTTGCTGCCGGTGATGCCATCTCGTTTTGTTTCAGAGGAGCTTCTTCATCATCGAAATCTGGTGGAAGAGGTACTGCGTAAGCATCTCTGAGTGCTTGTCTGGAAGGTGGCACAGTGTCCCTTTCCTCCACAGAAGGATGAAAATGTTTCTTATCCATGATCTGCTGATTTCTTGGCTTATCTTGCGGCTTGTTCATCAGTGTTTCACAAAAAGGTGATTGCTGGTCCAGCCGCTCTTCTGTACAGCTTCTGAAATCAAACACAGGACGTTAAGTGAATCCAACTTGCAATAGTAGCAACAGCAGAGAAGATGAAAACACTGCCGTTATTTACTGAGTCAAGCTTTCAGCAGATCTCAAGTGCCACATCTCTTGCCAAAACAATGATTGCTTTCCAGAAGATACACTTGAAAAACTTCTCTCTGCCTCTCCTCCGCTTTTTCGGGTTTTTAGAAGCAAAAGTGGCAAGAGAGTAAACGAGAAGAACGAGAACAAGAAAAGAAATGCTAAGCTAGTTTTTGTGGAAAGCTCATCTTCCTCAGTGAAAGATTTTTGCTGAAAAGTATTTTGAGATGTTCTGTCACTACAGCACCTACTGGGCAGGTTTGCCCAGACTGAGTGAATGCTTGCTTAGCTGCAGTCACTCGAGGTCACCTTCTCACAGCTGCATGTCTGCATAAGAGGGACATGGAGGGACCCATGGACAAGGGAAGCAGTAACAGAAATAGCTCCTAAGATACTAAGCTTAGTGTTTTAGGGCTTCCTCTCCTATTTAAAATTCCCTCTCAAGAAGCAAATACATACCGTTGCTCAACATTGTATTGGGAAAAGTGGTCTGGGAGGCTTTTTTATTTGCTTGCTTGGGTTTTCTTCATTTAAAAGTGAGGTTGTGCTATGAGCTTTTCCTGGAAAATTTGATGAGTGACCGAAGAGCCTGGAGGTTTACAGTGTGACATTTTCCAGGAAAAGTGTGAACAAGGAAAATAACATAAAGAACAAGTGATCACCATACTTTTCAAAACCAAAATGAGAATGAAAGATAAATGAAAAAGAATAAGAAAAGGCCAAAATGAAAAGATAAATGAAAAAGAATAAGAAAAGAGAATGAGAAGTAGCATTTTTTTTGAAATAAATATTGTTCTTTTTTGTTCTATTTTTTTGCTTTTTTTTGGCTGAATTAAACTTACAGATTTTCTAATTTGAGCAGATGTCAAAACAGGAAGATCAGACACAAAATAAGTTGAAACAGAAAGAAAAAAAAAAGAACACATTAATTCCACACTTCCTGTTTCGGCCTGCTTTGTAATAAAACAATCACAAAGGTGTTTTTTTTTTTTTTCTTTTTTCTTTAACATTTCTGCCTTATTAAGAAAACTTAGGCCAGATCTTGTTTTAGTCCTGCTCTTGGTCAGAGAGACTCAGTCATGAGCTCAAATATATTTCCAGAAAATAATCCATTCATATATTTAGATACCCAAATAGCAATATATAGCTGATACATAAAAGAAAATGCTAAAGTAAAAAATAAACTTAAATGACTAGAGAGAATAAGCTCAATTTTTGACCAGAAATAAGAGATAACTGACCTACTTTTTCTTCTTTATAATTATTCTTTGCACACTTTGTCCATCTTTCTGCGCCTCTCCCTTTTCACTACTGTTTCAACAACTGTTTCTACTAATGAATACAAAGAGGTTTTTTTTTTTCCACTTGAGTGAGAGCTCAGTGCTTAACCTGCAATGAATATACATTCCCTGTCCTCTGGTAGCCAGATTCTTTTGTCCTTTTCTATTGCCACATGACATATTTTTTGATAATGTCTTTAATAATAATTCCTTCTATGGCCTCTCTTGTCTTGTCTAATCTATTCTATCCCTTCTTTTCAATTTAGAAGAAGGAACACTTCATATGATTTTTTGTGTTGCCTGAAATATTACCAGGCAGCAATTTTCTGTCCCTTCTTTTACATTTTTATTCACATTCCTTAAGTGTCATTCACATACAGGTTTTAGTAGGTGGCCTCATAAATATGGACATATTTCATTCACAGAGTGGTTATACAGAAGTTTTAGACATCCTTATAAAAAATAAGACAAAATGCAAAAAATAACATAGTAAGGCAACCAGGAACAACAGGAGATCTTGAAAGATAAACCTGTGACACAACCAACTTACCGAAACTTAAAGTGTCTAGTTAAAAAGTTTGAAACATTTCAGTTTCAGAGGTATTTCCTGCCACACTCATAAGCTCCCTTTTCAGCTAGGTCTACAGCGCAGACTGAAGTGCCACGTGGATGTGCAGGCTATAAAATATACCTATATAAAGCAGCAGAGTGAATAAATGTGCTGGTTTCAGTGGCTACCCGACCTTTCTGCCCCTGGATCTGAATAAAGTTAGGTAGGTTGGGGCAACCCTTCATCATGCCATGCAGACATCGTGCATTGAGCCTTCACAGCCTTAAAAGCAAGCAGAACCACAGGCAGAAAAACAGACAGATAGAAGAAAAGGAGAGGCAGTTTCTTCAAGTGTCCTCTGAAACTAGCAAAACTTCATACGTGAATGACCTGATAATAGTAGAAGTGGGATAACACTCTTCCTTATCAGAGCTATCTGTCAGTTGTCAGCTCTATCTGCCTTTTCCGAGGAAGCGAAAGAATGCACTGCTTATAACGCTAGAACATGTTTCTGCACAGTACAAAAAAACATGCTACGTATGCACAATCTGTGAATTTAAAAAAGTGCACTCCAATTTACATGCCATCTTTCAATCAATTTCATGAATTAAAGATAATTTAAGTTCCCTTGATACTTTAAAAGAGAAGGGAAAGACATTATTACCTGTGTAGTGTCCACAGTAGCAAGAAGAAACAATAGCCTTTTCCTGCTTCTCTTGGTCCTTTCTATTTTTCTCCTCCCACAAAGAGAGGATGAGAACTGGAGAGTGGCAGAGAAATGAAACTAACTCATGAAACAAAACTAAATGTAAGACATATTTCAAAATAACCGGGCTGTTTATTGTTCTCCTTTCATTTCCTCATACTCTAGCAAATTTTCTGACATGGCATTTCCAGAAAACAGAAATTAAACTCCTCAAAGGAACAGCTGGCCTTATTGACATTTAGCTTTACAGTGTGATCTATCGTCTTATTTTGTGACAGGTGTAAGGTATTCAAATGATGTTTTTTAGCATCCATAATACCTTTTTTTCCTCATATTTAATATATGTTTTCTCACAGAATCACAGAATGGTTAAGGTTCAAGGCACCTCTGGAGATCATCTAGTCCAATCCCCCTGCTCCAGCAGGGACACCCAGAGCACATGGCACAGGGTGGGTTTGGAAGATCTCCAGAGAAGGAGACTCCACAACCACCCTGGGCAGCCTGTGCCAGGGCTCTGTCACCCTCACAGGAAAGAAGTTCTTCCTCACATGGAGATTAAACTTCCTATGTTTCTCTTGTATTAATATTTCAACAATTACAAATAAATGTAAGATGACATAAGACCAAATGTGGTTTTAAAATGTTCTGTATAACCTACTCTTGGGTTTATTGTTGTAAATTATTATAAAAACAGCACCAAAAATGAGTAACTGTCTTAAAACCACAAGATCCTAGAGAATGAAAGAAAGGGAAAATAAGAGAGAAATAGTAGGAATTCTAAATTCTTCCTTTCTATTATTTTAAGATTATATAAGCCCAGTTCTGAAACTTTTCTCGAAAAACTTTGGAGCTAAAGATGTATTTTCTTAATAACATGGGATTGTTTACCAACAGATTAACAGCTGAATCTGTGGCTTTAAGTCAGACAGCAAAAACCTTGACGCTCTTTCAGGCTCAAAATTAGTCATGCTGCCCTGCTTGTTCATAGAATCGAACCCACATGTCCCTCTTGGCATCCTAGTCAGAAACTACAAACACCAAAACAAACCTGTCTTCACTTTCCCTTTGTTTCCCTTTGCAAAACCCACCTCTCTGCTGTTACCGCAATGTCCAGCTTCCCAGTTTCCCCTCACATTTTCCCATCTGCCAGCACTTTTCTCTCCCCTGTTGGTTCTGCGGGGTCCGTGTAGTTACTTGCTGGGTGCATTACAGCAACACCCAACAGCCTAACGGAGGGTCCTAATCCCTTTGCATCCATCGCGCATTGCACGAAGCACAGTCTCCTTCAGCGCTTACTGTAGAACAAGATGAACAAGCACACAGGCCTTTCTCACCCCCTCACCCTCCCCATAGAGTCAACCCTCACCTTGCCCCTTTCTGTCATGTAAATAGATGGGACGTTAGAGCTTGCAAGAGATGAATAAAAAGCACTTTTTGTGTTGAACTGTGCATCAAATACCTGCTAGTACAGTCCTTGCTGCTGCTGGAAACCCACCATTTAACAGTGCGTTGGCCAAGAGAGTCTTGTAAATTGGGAGAAATAATCTTATTTTTTGACACTTTTCTTTCTTTGAGACAATTTACCTAGCTCTACACGTACTTTATATAGCAGTCTCTTCTTTCCTGCCTCTTGCTCCAGCGACAGAGAGTCTTTTTCCCTGCTAACCTCATAACCCTCATTTACTCCATACCCTCTATTCTTGGCAAACAAACTAATGGCTCTGTTCTACACCTCTGCAGAGATGCCCTCCTGCTCACAGAAAAACACTTTGAAGACCAGAATGTTTTCACTTGTACCTTTATAAATACGCTAGCTTGCCAGAGAACTCTCTTCTGCTGGTTCTGGTTTCAGTTTCTTGTGGCCAATACGACACAGCAGCTCTCACATCTGGGACATGGGGGATCTGATTTGAATAGATATTAATTATTGGCTAAGTCAAATACCAGCCTTTAAATCCTAGAGTAGAGAGAGGAAAGCCAGTACCAACGCTCAGTGCTTCAGAGGGGCATTTATTCAGATAAGCTAAGAAAAAAATCCACTGAGTTTCAGTGATCTGGACCCTTTTGGGCACCCTCCAACCCAGAAAAGCTGGAGAGCAGACGCAGGGCTAGGACAAGGCTCAAGGTTAAAAGTTTGTCATTTCTTTCTCAAGTTATGGTCACCTCTTCAGATTTCAGTCACCATTTCTGAGGGTCTATGGGGCCCTTGCTACATTCTGCATAAATTACTGCCCACAATCGGTGTTTGGCTGGCTTCAGGCTTCTAAAAGACATCTGGGAACAACATCCATGGAAAACAAAACAAAAACAAAAACAAAAAAAAACAAAAAAACAAAACCACTAGTCTTGCAGAAAGAAGGAAAAGCAAATATTTTCCTCTCATTTCACCCTGCATGTGCAGGGGGGTTGGACTAGATGATCTCTAGAGGTCCTTTTCAAACTTAACGATTCTATGATTCTATGATTTGAAAGCCACATAACATTTGAGGAATCTTCTGTAACTGAAGGTACCCCCCCTTATATACTATCCTGCATTAAAGATCAAAGTCTATAATATTTATTGTGGTTAACATTTATTGACACAGAGGAGCTTTTGACTGGGCTTTTAATCCCCCCTCACTTCAAACCCATGGTGCTTGTTACGGTCATATGTACACATGTACATATGACATATGTACATGTATGTTACAGTTAGTTGTTTTACAACAGACGACTCAGTTCAACAAACAGGGTTGAGGAGCAAGGCTACCCAGGATAGTATCCAGACTGCCTGATACAGCTGGCACCCTTGCTGAGGTTTGCTTGTCCCTGGGACCATGGCTGCTGCCTGTGTCACTCCACGGTTCTCCAGCACACTCAGGCTGCATCTCCCAGTGTAGACCCCCAGGTGCAGATTGGTGGGGCAAAATACCCAGCACCAACAGTCCTCATACCCAAACTATTAATAGTACTTGGGGAGAGAATGGTTATTCTCTAAGACTAACTCTGTATGCCTGTGACTGAGGTGCACTAGGTGCACTCCAAGTTCTGGGTCTCCTCTATGAAACAAAATGCTGTGACTGGGGACCACCCAGAGATTTGCTTCAAAAGCACATAACAGAGCTGAAGCAAAATGCACCCTTAGACAAAACTGCTGCCTCTACGTGCCTAGGTACTGCAAGAGACTTGGGAGACACCGTCTCTAGGAACAGCAACAGACAGAGCCCACAGAAGAGCTGAAGACTAAATGGACTTTGAAACAGAACAGCCCTGATCTCAAACACGGTACTTCCCAGCAAAGGTGGAGCACTGTGATGAAAAAGTGAAGGAAAACTTCCCTGCTGTTCCCTACAGCTCTCCTGTTGCATGGATCGAAGTGTAACAGCCTCTGAGGCTGAGCCCAACCCAGCAACACGTCACCCCATCCTGCTCCTCCCTTCCCTTGACTAACAACCACACGCACAAAAAACAGAGGTTTCATTTTGCTGCTGTTCTCGTCATGCTTTCTTAAACAGTCAAGGGTTTTCCATGATGTAGTTTGCTGCGTATCTCTTAAAGCATAGCCAAAGACTGAATATGTTCAGACAGCCTGTGTCCAGTGGGGTTGGCTCTAGCTATTTTAGGGATAATGTGCCTCCCCCTCTAGCCTGTCTGAGGTATAAAGAACTGAGACATCTTTATGCTCGCAAAACAGAAGGTTGTACACCAAATGACTGCACTCTACCTCAGGGAAATTTCCCTTCCCCAGCAGTGCTACCCGTTCTTGAGCAGGTCCTGCCTAGACCAGACATTAAGCCCCCACTTTGGTGGGTGTCAGTGGACAATGATTTGCTAGCAAATGGTCACAGTTAGGCAGAATGGGGACACAGCTCTCCCTCTTCACCTGCTTTCTTTAGGTATATTACACCTTGCATAAACAGGTGACAGGAGTACTGTGTCCAGATATGCTCTCAGTCTGGGCCTGCTCCTGCTTTGCTTGAGGAGAGGATTTACAAACAGCTCTGTTTTTAATACCTTTAATCTCCAGAGAGGAGCAAAATCAAAACTTAATCTTTTCTAGTCCTCCAATGTAGGCATATGCCAGTACCATGGTTATTTTCTAATACTGCTAAAACTGACATGCAATATCCTAGGAAGTCCCCATAGAGAAATGTGAGCTTACAGACTCATAAGCTACTGTTAATTGTCATATGTCAATGAATGATACCTGCATCAATCAGGAAGCAGGTCTTGTTTCTTATAAAAAGTCTCTTTCTCAGGTACTTGAAAATTTATGAGAGATAGCTGATGCAATTCAAGGCATGTAATCAGCCCTGCAAATTTCCTTACCCAGTTGTCTTCTTGGGTGCTTATTCCCAAGATGGGTGAAAGCATTCTCCTTCTTTCAAAATTCACATCCTTGTGTCTGTGTGACTCTGTTTTGCTAGAGCGAGAAACAAACAGCAGAGAGTTTTGGACACATTTCATAGGGGAGAGAGGGTACTGACATAGTTCACAATCTATTTTACTAGAGTGCCATTCTGGCAGATCCTCTGCTACTATTTACTCTGCTGTTTAAAGCGATAATTTACATAAGTGGGAGATCTTTTCTCAGTAATTTTTAACATAACAAGATTAAAGGACAGAAGTTGAGAAAGCACATGCAAAGCTAGTTCCACGGAACCAGTTAATGTGCAATCAGATATACTACAAGCACTATTTTTAAGCCACAGGTTCTCCCTGAAAATTCAAATGCCAAAATGGTAAATATCTGTGAGCAACTGACATTATATGTCTTAGCAATACTGGGAAATGCCCTTTTATTCCTTTCTTGTTGTCACGTATGAGGAAGGTAAAAAAAAAAAAAAAAGAAGTTAGGGAAAAATAAAAACAATTGTAAATACCCAGATGCCAGGATGCCACTATTAACAGGTTTCAATAAACCTCGAGTTAATAGTTTTAATACTCTAGTTAATTCACTTCCAACCCTTAGCCACACTGATTTATGTGTATTGAGAAATAGATCCTCCTCTTTTAAAGAATTTAAAATATGTAAAATATGATTCAATATGCTTGATATTATTTCCAAAAAAAAGTCTAATGTATATCATGAAGTCACTATTCATTTCACTCAGATTGGAATGATTGCATTTTCTCCTCTAGACTGATACTGGTCACACAGGCTTCAAAATACAGAGGTACATTAAACACAGAAACAAATCCTCCTCCCTTTATAGAACAGTGTTATTGTTACTCCCACTTCCAATATAAAGAACATTTATGTGCAATTACCAAAAATATTCTCTTCCAGCAGAAGAACAGGTAACTGCAGTTTTAGAGGATCTGCTGAGCAGGTCTCTATGAGAAAAGCTCATATTTACTAGTTCTATGTCTTACACTGAAAGGATTCAGTCATCATCTACCTTTATTACATAAAAATTATACTACTGGCTCCACCCAGCTTCTGTACCACCGCTCAAGAGAAGGGCCTTACACTGATTGCTTTTCCCTTTCCAATTCATGGTTATCTTCCTGAGCCACAGTTGCCTGCTGGGAAAAAAAAATCCAGGGAGAACATCTAAGTTTAAAAGGAATAAATCAAATCATTAGCTCAAGATGGAAAATGTGCTGTGCATGCGGTACACCTTACTCACAAACTGCAGTAAATCACTGCAATGAACTTGATGGAACATTCACATTTTGCCATCTTCAGATGACACAGTGGGCAGGTCTAGTGCCCAGCTTTGTAGTGCTCCTACAAAACTTCAGGCAGGGAACACGTCGAAGGTCCTGATCAATACCGCATACTAAATCACACTTGACAATCATAGACACCAAAAGGAATATGTGTTTCCAAGAGGATGGAATCATTTATTACTCTAACGAGCGTGTGTCTCACAGCAAGTAGAGCTTAGCTCCTGGACTCCAGTTTTAGCCAGTAGCCCATCAGAAGGAAAATCAGAAACTAGCTCTACAAAGTGTTTTATGTTCTGTCTTCAAAACTCAGAAATGGCTACTCAAGGTCTAATTCTGCCCCTTTTACTCCTTATAGGAAAAAAAAAAGTAATGTATGCCCAGCTATTTAGTGATGAGCCAAGATAATACATATCCTAATTTGCTCGGATAAGAGCAAAATTTGAATTTATAGCCTAGTATTACATCAAAGCACAAAAAAAAAAAAACTCTTCAGAAGGTCTTGCTTAAAGACATTTTTACTTACAAAATCCAACTTGTTATAGATCTCTCTGGGGAGAAGATAAAGTCCAGGCTCACCCCTGAGAACTCACTGGTAGGGAATGC